TCCGAATTCGGATGTGTTTATATCATCTCATCATAATATCACATTGTAGTTCTACCTTCATTCCACGGTGTCATAAGATCACAGTACAGCTATATTTTTGTTTAATAACTGTCAACTTTTACAACTGGGAGCTAAACATCTGCTAAGTTCTCAGGCTTAATAACGACGCTTTCTCAGCACCTTTCGACTTAATAGCGCGATTTTAACAATTCAACATTAGACACGATAACAAAGTGAGTCAGTCGTCACCAGTTCCTCGTTCGGACCACTCCAGTTATCCCTGTGCCTCGCTTTTGGATATTCCTTTGCCCTTGGATATTTCTTCGCCTTTGGATATTTCTACGCCTAAGAACTGTGTCTTCTGTTTTCTGAGTCCGGAACTGCCTTCTTTTGGGATTTCATACAAGGTAAATATCGACACGCGAACTTCTGTAAACTCTCTCTCTCAATATGGGAAGAAACGTAATATCTTAATATCGTAATATCTTAATACTATTATATACTAAAGCGAGCAATGTATCTAATAGCAGCCCTAATGTATCTAACAGCGGCACTAATGTATATCCTATCATTAATCATTAAACAGTTGTTACGTTAAAAAAGCGTCTGAGTAAATCACTTCCGGTGCGTTGTCTCTCCTTCTATCTCGACTCTGATCGCTCCGTTACGTGACCGCTCGCGTGACCTAAATAACGCGGCTTCCGTGTCCGCCGAGACGCGGTGGTGTCATCCTGACAGGGCACCAAAGAGGTGCCGACCCTTCGGTCACAATAGAATGCAGCGGGGTGCTTTCAATAAATTAATTAAAGAATGCAGTCCCACAGCTTACCTTCAGAGGACTGTTTCAACGGTGTAGTAGAAAAAGATTTTGTATTATCTACAAATCAGAAATAAGTCTATGAACAAAACATATTGAATAGATGATAAAATGCAGTTTACTTCAGGGCCGCTTTTGAATAATTATTTAAAGAAAGAAGTCCCACAACTTACTTCAGGGGGGTCATTTTAGGGTATAGTAGAGAAAGATTTCTTCCCAATTATTCTGTTGAGAAATAAATTATCACAGTTTGTTTCTCTATACTCGTGATATTAGTAACATTATTGATGATATAATAAAAAAAATATATATAATGAAAAAAAAAAACTTAAATAAAATTCGATGAAGAAGAAAATTATATCAATTTTAAAAATAGTTAAATTTTATAAAAACCAATCATATTTTTTTTAAAAACTAGCAACCAGTCGTATATTATCTACAGAGATCAGTAAAATTAACGAAATTAATTAAAAAACGTGGTCCAATAATTCCATTATATAAGAAATATATTACCATACTTTGCTTGCCTATATTTCCAATATCAATCACATCGTTAAAAACTAACAGCCAATCATATTTTTCTTTAAGAACAAATCGTTTTTTTAAACTCAAATCGTATATTATCTGCAGATAAAAATAGTCACATTTTCTCTGTTACTGCTACATCTGACGATAAGGCGAAAAGTTCGAACAAAGAGATAGCACGGGTCTACATGAGTAGGTTCAGGGTATGACAGAGGGGGTTGCATCAAAATTTTAAGTGGTGTTATCGTTTTGTATTATTAAATTCTTATACAAATTAAATATAATCTATACTGTATCGGTCTTTATTTCGATATAATTCAAAAAAATTTTTTTCAATATTAAATTTATATACTAATTAATACTAATTAATTTTTATAACCCAAAGTGTATTGATCGTATACTACTTCTACACTAAAATAATTCACTCATATAACTGTTTAATACATAACAAATTCTTACCACATTATTGTTGTTAATATTTTCAATATGATCAGACATATCAGTTTGAGTACTTTCAACTATTTTATCATTGTTCAAAAGACCAGTTTCTAATTCCATCCTATTTTCAGCGATTTCATTATCAGATGAAATTCCTGTAAGCATTTCTAAATTTTCTATTTTATTGTAATTGCCAACGATTTCAAATTTTTCCTAAAATAAATTTATAATATATATAAATATAATTGTAAATTTAAAACTTTAATTAATATATAAATATATAAACATACGTGTAAAGGTATAAAAATATACGAGGTGTGAAATTTAATTCCAGGACTGGTTGTGTAGCGCTGCAGTGTCAGCATGCAGAAATTTGTCTAAGCTTATCATAATAGTTCAACCATCTGGCTACTTTTCAGCAAAGATTTGTTCATGTCTCGTAACTCGTTCTTTTTCTGTACTCCATTCACATATTGCTGTGAGAAAGTGCTGTCACATTTTCTCATGGAACAAAATGCAAACATTAAGTTTTGTTACAAGTTGGGAAAAAGTACAACAGAGACGAATCCCTTTATATAGCAAGTTTATGTGAATGATCCCCTATCCCCTCTTGTGTTTTCGAGTGGTTTCCGCATTTTACGGATGGTTGGGAAGATCTTGAGGATGATTCTCGCCCTGGATGACCTCAATCAGTTCAAACACCAGAAAACAGTAAAAAAATCAGAGACTTGCTGCGATATGACCGTCGAATGTGCATTCGGATGATAGCAGAGACAATTGGTATCAATCTAGAGACAAATCGCTTAATCATCACCGAAGATTTGGGCAAAAGAAAACTCTGCTTCCGCTTTGCTCTGCACTATCTCACTGAAATTCAGAAGAGTCTCCTACTGGAAGAGTGTCAACAGTTCATTCAAGATGTTGACAATGTCCCCTCTTTACTGGATTCCGAAAACCAAAATCACATTGAAGGAGCAAAGATTCGACGACTTGGAGGACATACAGCGCAATGTGACCAAGAAATTGAATGCTGTGAATAGAAGTGACTTTGCCAAGTGTTTCATGAACTTATACAAGTGTTGCGAGAAGTGCATTGTTCTTTACAAGGATTACTCTGAAACATATTAAAAGGGTTTTTATTATATGTTCTTTGTGTGCTTTTATTACCCCAGTCCTGAAATTTAATTGTCACACATTGTATATTTGGTCTCCAACAATTAATGAGTGCAAAGTATTTTCAAAAATTTACCAGTGATAGATATTGAATTACAGGTATATTAAGAGACGCATTGGTTAACTTGTGATGCAATCCCTATTTCTATTTACTGCTGTATACAACATATAATGCAAACATGGCAAACAGATCTGAAACTCAACAGTGCGTGAATAGATATAAATAACTGAAAAATACTAGTCTCCTTTTTTCCATCACAGGGCTTATAGGAATTTTGCATATTTTCATCATTTATACCGAGAAGAAGTTTTTGTTGAGAAAAAGCTTATATATTGCAATACACCCCAATGTTATGTATATGCTTAGTTACAGTACAGTTAACTTCATAATTATTTTCTTATTCTAAACATTATAACGTTAAATTGGTGTGTTTTAAAATAGAAAATAATGTCATTTTTATTCACAAAGTAATTAGAAAGAAAACCAGTAAACAAATAGTATCGTTACCTTATTTAACACTAAAATTTTACTTGCAGAGTTTAAAAATTGTACTTGATGCGTAACTAGAATACAAATCTTCTCATTCAGATATTCCATTATACATCTGAAATGAATAATAAGCGAAAATGTATTCCAATATACCATAGATAATACTTAAATACTTACTTTTCGAAGATATGTTTTGCCACTGGAACATCAACAGCACTTAGTGGATCATCAAGGAGGAATATATCGGCATCCAGATATAATGCTCTAAAAAACATAAAAATGATAATCATGGTAAAATAAACTTATTACAAAAGACAAGAAATATATACATAGTTTTTTCATTCCCATCGAGCTAATTTTTGACCTAAGATAAACAAACAAGTAGAGTAAGAGTTAGTTTACCTTGCTAGATTAATTCTTGCTTTTTGCCCACCGCTCATTATCACTCCTCTTTCTCCCACAACAGTTAGATCTCCTTTAGGAAATAAACTTATATCCTAAAATTGGTAAATGTAAACTGCGAGGTGATTATGTTCAATATAATATGCACTAAGAAGTAGAACATTTTTTACACTAAACATAACTTCAATACATATTCAAGTACATTTTTGAAAATTTAAATTAATTATAAGTATCATTAAATCTAAGTATTATATTTAAGGTATAAATCTAAATCCGATATGTACAGTGCTCAGGCTAATGGACACGATAATACTTTTTCCAAGTGTTCACCATAAAAACATATCAACTAAAGATTTGCATTTTATTGTACAATACTTGTTAAATTATTAAATGATCGATATACAATACAGTGGAACCCCGGTTAACGAACGACCTGGTTAACGACCAAATCGGTTAACGAACCCTTATTTTGCAAAAATTTTGTCTCAGATAACGAACAAAATTCGGATAACGAACGTAACGGTATTTTGTGTCAAATTTTAGTTGGTGTTAGGCATGTGCGAGTTAAGTATTGCTTTTCCGAGTGTTTGTGCTATACTTCTTTTTTTCAGTTTTGTGATTTATATATTTAATCAATATGGCATCCATGAAAGAAAAAAGTCATAGTGGCAATAGAAAACGACAACGCAATATTAACGACAATGCGCTATCGCATTTGAGAAAAATTTTGATTAAAAGAGTAAGACAATCAACTTTAGATCGATTTCTTGTTCCTTACGCAAAGTATGTTTGTTTTGTTAAGTTATGGCAACGCAACACTTGGGCGATCTGTCTAGGGAGAATGCCTTCTGGAAGGTGTTTTTAAGGGAAACTGACCCCTATTTAGGCGTTACAGACGTGGAGAAAACTCGAAAAACTCCACATGGCCAGCCCGTTTGAGTGAGGTGAGAGCTCAAGAACGAATTCTCCGTGTTCAGGGTACGAAGACCGCTTAGCCACTGGTGGGCTTTCTTACTGAGAGAGACTTCGACTCGAAGAATTTTTCAATGAAGTGCTACCCGTTATTTTTTGGAGGAGATTCCCCTTCTAAGCATTAAGGTTCGTATATCTTCACTTTTCTGCCACCAACTACAACAAACGAAGATATGTACGTACAGTGCTATTTTATTAAACAAAGTTTACCTGTTTGTTGCTGTAATGATAGATACAACGTTTTCCTACATTTTCATCAAAGAAAATCTGCTGTATATTACAAATGAANTAGTTCGGCTGCCCGATAACGTTTTACGTATTATAGGAGTTATTTTTACCGTTGTTTACAGATACTGCCACAATTTTTATAGGAATCATAACTATAGGAAACGGTTTTATAGGGGGATCTACTGTATTTATAAATAATTTATATTCAAATTACATCATTTTTATGACCAAGGGTAGCGTAAGGCATGGATGACATGGGCCATCGCCTATGCCTCGCGGTCCGAAGGGCCTCACGCCTGGAAGGTTTATGCATTACTTAAAGCCGCGAACGCGGCGAAAAAATTTTACCCGTCATAAAACGATAAATAGTTTGTCAAATTTTTATTCATAAAAATGCAGTTTCAACTGCTTTTTATTTTATAAAATCTGTCTTCTTGTGCCATCAGAGGGCCTTTTAAACAATAGGTAGTCTGTTAGCGTTGGTCAGTAGTAGTCCAAATTCAATATGAACGTTTGTTTTTTGAAAATTTGACCACGATTTAAATACGGTATTTACTTTTAATATTGCCGATATGTCGTCGAAAAGAAAACGTGTTGTATTGTCATTAAAAGACAAATTAAAGTATTTCGATTAATCCGAATTTTTTCTTATCCGGACTACCTTCATCCCCAATTAGTCCGGATAATCGAGGTTATACTGTATTAATAATAATAAATTAATTTTTGACTTTGTTTAATAAACAAAATTATGTAATTCATTATATGAATTTAAAATTTTATTTAGAAGAGGGTTTAATATTAACTAAAATTCATCGAGTGCTTGCATTTAATCAAGAACCGTGGCTTAAAAATTATGTATTGTTTAATAATAAAAAACAGCAGGAATCAACGAATGATTATGATAAAAGTTTCTTCAAGTTAATGAACGACAGTTTCTTCGATAAGACATGTCAGAATGTGAGAAAACGTTTAAATTTGAAAACAGCTATGACTGAAAATCAATGTCAAAAGTATTTATCTCACTCAGCTCTCGAAAATTATTAATGATAATCCAAATTATTAATGATAATCTCAAGATTTTTAAAATAAAAAAATTAACTTATGTTTGGATAAACTGATTTATATAGGTTTTTATGTGTTAGAATTAAGTAAATTGCATATGTATCAAACATTTTATAAAATATTTAAAAATAAATATGGTGAAAATGTGAATTTATTATATACAGATACCAATTCGCTAATGCTTCAAATTTACATGAATAATTTATATAACGACTTTAAATCATTTCCAGATATTTTTGATTTCAGCAACTACCCTAACACACATGAATTATTTGATGCAACAAATAAAAATAAGCTAGGATATTTTAAAGACGAGACAGCGTCTAAACCTATAATAGAATTTTGTTCATTAAAACCGAAAATGTATTCGTATATTTTCGATAATCAAAATAAAAAAACAGCTAAAGGAATTAAAAAATCTGTTGTTAAAACCTTTAACCACGAAAAATATAAAGAAGTTTTATTTAATACTGAGCTATTAAGACATCAGCAGTATGGTATTAAAAGTAAAAACCNTCCACTTTTCTGCCACCAACTACAACAAACGAAGGTATGTACAGTGCTATTTTATTAAACAAAGTTTACATGTTTGTTGCTGTAATGATAGATACTACGTTTTCCTACATTTTCATCAAAGAAAATCTGCTGTATATTACAAATGAAATTACAAAAATTTCGGAGACTAGAACGGATTAATTGCATTTGCATTAATTTCTATGGGAAAAATTGCTTCGGTTAACAAACAATTCAGTTAACGAACGGAGTCGCGGAACGGATTAAGTTCGTTAACCGGGGTTCCACTGTATATATATTTATCACATAAAATGAGGACATAACTTAAAATTTATAAAATTTAAGTTGCCGAAATTATAGGTTTATTTATTATCATAAGAAATAACTATTTTACTTTTGCTTTTGACGCTTCCTTCCCTGACTGCCTGATTCAATTTTGATTCAAGATCCTGCATCGTTCAGTCAGGCTTACAAAAAGACAGGTGTACAAGAGTGATACACGACACTCTGAAAACAAGCCTTTTATCTGAGCTTTTAAGATTTCAGGTATAAACTCACATTAGGGTCAACGAGAGCACGAACTGAATCATATATACTTTGGAAATGTAGCAAGCACGATTTAAGAATAAAAAAGCTAAGTGTGATTTTGTACTTTTAGATTATAATTATATCGATTATAAAGGATTGTAGACATTCCAGAAAATTGATCAAATTGAAAACAGTTCGTTTGATTCTGGGCAATTCTCATCATTCTCAGCGGTAGGTGTTATATAACAATTACTGTGGTTGTTGAAATACTGAATATAAATGGGGTTTGCTTGAAAAATCCTCTCGGGCAATGTCGCGGGTAACAGCTAGTTTAATGTAAAAATACACTAACAGTGTTATTTCTATTCTTGGAATAAATGATTCTTTATTAGATTTGAACGCATTATTTGTTGTTTATTTTCGTGTGTAACTTAAGCTTTGTACGGTGCATTAGTCAGCTATGTCGCTATCATGATGTATTGAAGAATAAACGTGGGAAATTTTTTAAATATTTTTCCACGCGTTTTTCTCATTACCGTTTCGGAAAAATATTGTTATCAGTTATGTCTAGTAAAGAAAAATCTTTTTTATTCTCACATAATTCCTGTTATATGTGAATTTTTTCGCGGTAGTTTTTGGCTAGCTTTTCGCGATATTCGCACAATTCCTTGGAGGATGTATACGTCGTTCTTTAGTGCCACCTGATTGCCCTTGACAGATATATCAATCGATCACTGCAAAGTGGTTAATGGCCTGAGCCAGCGAAAGAAGATAAAAGTTATAGAAGTGTTTATTCCTCAAGATTCACAGAAAAAAAACAAAATATAAAATAGTGCACAACAAAAAGGCAAAAAGTTCGTGATTAGCGCGATAACCCGTGTGTCGAAATCACCTGAACCCTTTCTCGAAAACGACTAAAAGCGAGACACTTAAGATCATTAACATTTTCCGTATCGTTTTCAAAAAAATGTTTTCATAAAAAAATAAAATGACAATTAGAAAAAATATCTAAATAATTCCTTTTAACTCAAATTATATTTTATCTCTGTAAGAACTACTGACTATTATTGTGTACATTGCACAATTAAAAGCACAATATGTATAATTACGAATGTTATTGCATTGTGTTAATATTTTATACATTTAACGAAGCACTTACTGCTACAAAAAACAAAACCAAAATATAAAATCGAAAATATCATATACAGTTTATAATATTTTTTAAAAATCTAAGAAATAACTTAATAATAACTAACAGCTTAATGTAGCATGTATAAAGTAATTGTCGTTTAATTACTAGTTGGTATCAAACAACTTTTCAACTTCAATAAATATAAGTAATCTAAATTGTGGCTAATATCTAGATGAAAATAGTGCATTACCTTTTCTAGAGCAGTTATATACAAAACTTTTTTATATTTCTCCTCTTCGTATTCTTCTCCGAACAAGATATTTTCTCTAATTGATCCGTTGAATACCCAAGCTTCTTGAGAAGCGTAAGCAATTTTTCCTTTCACTATCACTTTACCGAAAGTAACAGGAATTTCTCCCAAAATGGACAATAAGAAAGACGTCTAATCAAATTAATAAAACGTTTTTTTAGTATGAAAAACTGCGTGTAAATAATATAAGCATGTAAGCATTTAAAATGTTAGTAACATAGAGAGTAATTCCTTAAATCGTACCGATACGAAACTTATGTAGACACAACTTAAGATTACATTTTAAATAAACATAAGAAAACATTGAATAAAACTATTAGGATTTCGTTTCCAGTAAACAACTACTAAAACACTACGAAATGAACACTTAAAAAAGAACATGAATTTATCAATAATTTACTTGCTTGAAAGTTACCAAATATATAGAGAAAATTATAAGAAAACAAAGTTAAGCTTATTTGTTGAAAAAATTTGATACTACGCCATCGATGACAGACATTCACTCTGCGAACCACTGTATTTGACTGAAATTACAGTACATCTTATTGAAGGCAGAACCGCTATTTCCGCGATATTAAATTTAAAATTTAAACTGTACGATTTAGGTAATGGGATGTGTTGAGCAACTTCACTATATGCAATGAAAATAATTCGAATGTACGCTACTTCGTTAAAATAACAGTTTCAAAAAAAAGAATAAAGTAATAACAAATTATTAAAATAATAATTTCGCATAAGAATCATTTGCAGATAAAATAAGTTACATGAATAAATTTTACGAAATTTAATTATAAATATGCTTATATCCAGTTGCAGGTAAAATTTGACTTGTTAAAAATAATTTTCATTTAATTAAGAAATGCATGAAAAGTTAGATTCGATAACAGATTATTCACACAAAAACAATACAAGTTATTCTCTAACCATTTTTTCTCTTTTTCTACATTATGTAACTAATTTCCTCTGTAAATATTCAACAACATCAAATTATTTAAACGTGACAATTAAGTATAACAATTTAAAAATGAATTTGATTGGAATTACATAAATGGATAACTTTTAAATTTTTGTTAGTTATTCTAAACAAGCTTTATATCACAAAGTATACTGTATATAAAATTTAAAATAGGAGATATTCACCTTTCCTGATCCGACAGGGCTTATAACAGTTAATAATTCTCCAGGTTGTACGTTTATAGATATATTATTTAATGTTGGGTAGGCTTCCTTTTAAAAATTCAAAGCGTAAAGTAACTAAATTGTATATAAATAATCTTATACGTTATAAATTAGAAATAATATACCATAAATTAGATAATAATAACGTAAATTTATTATTTAATAAAATAGCTTATAATGCCTTATAAATGCTAAAATTAGTGTCAGGGTATTCATATATATTAAAGGTACACTATGCTATGACAATTGCTTGTATACCAGAAGTTCTGTAATCTCTCCTGTCTGTAAAATATAGGCGATAAAAATACATTGTGCCTTGTTTCGTATTATCCCTCAGTTCATGCCTTCAATCCGTGAGATGCCAATACAACATTTTCTAGCATTGGTTTTTCCAGAGTTTTTGAAAAAATCTTAAATCATTCGTTTTCTTTTCAGTTTTTAAGTTACAAAATTACGCTGACACTTGATCGTTCTCAACTTTGTGAAATTTTTACCTTCGTTAAGAAGTGTTATTCTTCAAAATCATTGTAAATGTTACTTCTGTGGTTGGATTAAAAGATAAAGGTAAACTCGAAAATATTATATTTTTGTTAATCAACATAGGAATATTTAATAACTGCTTATGCATCTACTTTAAAATCAGTGTAATTATATAAACTAACACAGCTACGGCATTTATTTCAAAACTTATAAGAATTAAAATTGTATTAATTGCATCTTACTTTTTTCCATGTAGCTGTGACATTATTCATCCATATTCCATATTCGGTTAAAATTTGGCTCTCTCCTACAGCTTTGAGAGACTTGTCGTCTTTTTCTTGAAGAAGAAGGAAATCCTAAATCAAAATTCGAAAAATTTTACAAAAAGTATTAAATCTACGTTCCCGTGGATTAATAAATTTACGAACAATTGTAGTGTTAGACATCATGATGCAGTTATTCATCCTGAAGCATTCCATTTTATTTTGTAAGTCATAATGAGCGTTCTACGACTAATTGAATATAAAACTTATTCTAATGGCAAATGAAAATTTATATACAGTACTAGTTTATATTGCATTAGTTTATATTATATCAGAAGCGATAATGCATTACTTCAGTTATGCAGGCGCTAATCTGCCCAAGAAAAGATGATCAGCAGGAAAAGTTATATGAAATGTCTGTTTTCCAGGCCATGGTATTGTATCACCTATTAAAATAGATAAACTGTAGCTATTTAGAGATATAGATGTTTAGTATCAACTCTCGTTAAATTTTAAAGTATCACGATTTGTTACACTCTATTCATAATTATATCAATATCGTTTTTTTACAGGCATACTGTAAACTAAAAGAACTATTTATATAACATCTCACAGAAGCCAAAGTAATAGATAAATTGTCACATTCCTATCAATCACTGAAAATATATCGTACGAGAGTTATGACTTCATATGAACATAAGTTTAGTAACGAAAATTTCTTCTCATCATCTGCGGTATTTTGCATTTTCCAACTATCAGCAGGTGAACTTTTACTCTCTGTAAAAAAGCCTTTTTCTGTCTGATTTTCTTATTTACCAAAATCCAGAGGCATTACTTGATTTCTTTACAAATTCTTAAGCACGAAACAACGTCAGACCCACGTTTATTTGTAAATATTTAGGGGAGACCGGGGCAAGATCGGCATGTTAAGCTTTACTTAAATTTTGTGTAATAAATACTGCTGTAAATTGAAAAAAAAGCTTTGCATATTGTCTATTGGAATGTTGCCTTACTATAGAACTGGTTAAAATCAGTTTGGAAATAAAATACATTTAACGAAGCACTTACTGCTACAAAAAANTGGTGGCATTATAGCTTTTTTTCTGAATTTTAACGTTGGAGGTTTATTTAAAACTCTCCACACTGTTGTGCTGCTACAAATTAAATCTAATTCTTGTTTTATTTTTCTTACTGATGTTTGTTTTGTAGAGCAAACCTTGATGATTTGTCTTCAATCTCGAGGTATAAGCTTGGGTTTTGGACCTGTCTTGAATTTTGGTACATCCTAGCCACGTGTTTTTGATAAATAATCATCAACAGTTGAGTTTGGATAATTTATATATGCTGCAATTTCTCTTATTGACTTGCTTTGTTATTTATAGGCATCAATCTGCCCTTTTTCATAATAAAATAAATTCTTTGTTCTACCAGTTTTAGAACGTTGAACAACATAAAGAATTTATATTACAATTAGATATGTAAGCTGATTTGCATTATTCAATGCTTAAAACTAAACAATATTCTATTTAAGTCATGAAATGAGTGCCTGTCTGGATAAATATGTAACAGTTTTTTGTACAAAATTTTCAAAAATATATTCAATGACAAAATGTCAATATTTGATTCAAATTCTTATTTTGCGGTGTGGAAACATGTAAATCCATGTTATTTTTAATAAAACATTTGTCACTTAATGAAACAAATTTAGGTTTCACTTTAATTTTTAGGTGTCCGTATAAATTTGAAACACACCTTAAATAAATAAGATATCAGATTATTAATATTTCAAAATTTAATAACGGAGAAAAAATTAAATATTTAGGACAAGAAGCTCAGTTACAGTTCGGGATATATGTCAAATTGTGGTAAAAAGTATTCATCTAATTTAATTTATAGCGAAAATTATTTGATAAAAACTTTATAATATTTAAAACTTACGATGTTTCACAAAAGTTAAAATTACAACTTTTAAAGTGTTTACAATGTAGGTTTCCACAAACTCACAAAATAAATTAAAGTTCAAATAGTCCACTAGCACTGAACAGGTTCTTGAAAAGACACCTTACGACGTAATCCTGAGTCGTTACTAGATGTAAGCTCCTTTCGGCCTTTGTCGAAGAAACAGCCAGATTATTACAAAGATTGCGACCGAAATTTTTAATCTCTCAAACGTGAACGCCAAACGTCGAGCACCGCAATCTTGTAAGCAGTGCTCGACGTTCGACGTTCACGTTTAAGAAATGAAAATTTCGACCGCAACCTCTCTACAGTAATGTAACTTTCTTCGATCGTAACGATAACCAACTTAACCTAACCAAGTTTCTTTGATCAACGTGAAGTCCTAAGCCAAGATTAAACCGAACTTAACTTTTTCACCTAAACATCAACTTTTTATATAGACTGATAGCAGGATTGATTGACCAATCAGCGCTTCGTAGCTCTGTCAGAGGTCTACTGGTGGTCCTATGATCGGCGGAAAATCAGCGATTACAGATTCAACACCACTGGTCGTTTTTCCAACCAACTTCTGCAACGTTGACTAGTTTGAAATGAAATTAAAAACAATAAAAAAGGTTAAAATCGTGCTTCCAGACAATACTAATCCCTACAGTTCAGATAATTGCATTGTATATTTTGTGCCAAATTTTGCTAAAATCAGAAGTGCTGTAATAGTTATTCTTAGCGTCATTAACTAAATTCTCTAGCTTGCTACTGATGGTCTACTGAATTAAAGTGTCACTCTTGGAGGCCAATACCGAGTACGGCAAGACAGACGGCTGCCCAGGGAGGCAGATTGCTACAGGCTGCAAAATGGGCTAAGTAATATGAAAATTATAAAACATTGTTAATTTCAGATAGCTGATTTTTCTATCTCTTGAAAATAATTAAGTAATTAAATTTTCCAGGTCCGAGCCCTATAATTTTTCGATTAAAATTACAATACGCCTGTATTTTACTGAAACAATAAATAACTATCTTGCCCAGAACGGCATAATTGCTAGGTTAGTCAAAGCTCCCTCCACTGCTTTGTAACACCCGAAAATTTCAGATAGCTGAGTCTGAAAACTTCAAAATGATTACAATGAGATCTCTATCAGTGAAACGTCCCACTTCATCCATAACCAGATACTTCCCACATGGTGGCCTGCAAAACTCACAGTGTGATATAACAAAAAAAAAATTAATTTTAGTGGCTATGGCCCAGAAAGTGGAAAATTAAATCAATAAAATATGTAAATAATTATTAAATGTTATTTTTAAATTTTTAAATTAATTAAGTTTGAAAACAACAATTTGTTAAACTGTTCATTACCTGAAGTCTCTTCAATGAAACCAAAACTTCTGCAGCACAATCTGCTGCACGTGAAAATAGAGTGGTAGTGCTACCGAAAATACGTGCAGAAGCAGCCATAGTGATATATATAATTTGAGCATTCAGTTGTCCTCCATTTAAGAAAAATGCAAGATATGTGAGGGAAGTAAATAATCTACATATAGGATATCCCAATATATGCGCTACTCCTCTTGCATATGAAAACATTCGAATTTTTTTCATTTCTCTCCTGCAAATATAAACAGTTCGCTATAACAAATTATAAAACTTTGAAAGTAATTGTGAAAAAACAGGAATGGCAGAAATACATTAAAATCTGTGTAAAGCAGAATTACACCAAATCATTTTCTATTAATTAGGTGAGTTTCCATCTTGAATAGTTCATTTAACTTAAAGAAAGGATTTGTTCTAAGCAATTTTTTATACAGGTGTTACTGTATTTAATATCACTTACTCTCTGATTTTCTCAACTAATGCGGTATATGGCAATTCCCAGGTGTACATTTTAATTAATCTCATATCAGCAATCATCTCGTTCAAGAGGTTCATTCTTTTATCTCCCAATACAGCTGCTTGTAATCTATTATTATGGAATTATGTTTAAATATAAATATATACTTTTATAAAAATAAGCCTATATAAAACTACTTTATAAATATTAATTTTGTTTATGTAGTTACTATTTTCTTTTATTCCAGTTACTAACTTTACTTTTTTGCTTACTAAATACTAGGAGCCCCCGCACGCGTTGTTGTGGCTCAAAATGTATCTATTATAAATGTATAACACTTCTCCCGTGGGGGGTGGGAATTTTTCTTTAACACCTACAAGCTGTTATAGATGCTAAAGGTGACCAATAAAATATTAAATAAATAATCTTTTATTTAGTTAAATACTGTTTGTATTCACATTTTTAACACCACTTTTAGAGAAATAGAGTATTACTGTATTAAATTATTCATTTATATTTTTCAGAAATTTTTCAATGCCATTATTTATGTGCTCTTAACACACTTAAATATGACATTTAATAAGTTTATTTTCTAGTAATGTTGTAATTAGTGTTGTAACGAATAGTATATTCGGCCTCAGGCCGAGTACCGAATATTCGGCCAAGAGCGTAGCCGAATAGCCGAATATTCAGCCAAACTATTCGGCTCGAGTAACCCACGTACGAAAATTGGCTCGCAAACCGCATTATGGCAAGGATCCTGCTCTCTATTGGCCTGCTGTCACTACTCTTTGCCAATCGCGTTCATTCTTGGCAGGTGTAGCAGACAGTCGAGAGCGTCATGGAAGTATGTGATAAATGATGATATTAAATGTGGATAACAATGAAATGACCTACATGTGTAAATAACGGAAGAAGAACAGAGAAGAACCGCGAAGTGAAAATGTGAAAATAAATATGAAATTGAGTTGATAACATAATCGAACAAGTCGAGGCAGCTTATTGGCGCGAAATTCGCGGCCGTCAATGCCAAACAATTGTTGTCATAGACTTCGGAAAGCTAAATGCTTGTAATGAAAGTCACTTAGCGTGGATGGGCGAGAGCCTGGGGCCGTTCGGGCTATCAAGCTGTCTCGAATCTGTGAAATCATAACTGTGACTTATACTGACGTCCTATCTGTCTATTTTCTCCGTTATCACCAGGCTGTCGCGTAATTGTAAAATGGGAACTCTACGACAGAAAAGTGACGAATCGAAAGTATCTTGAGCGCGTATTAAGATGTATGCACAGGCATACGTGGATTAGAGCGATAGAGGTAAGAGAAAGAGAAGAGCAAAGACGAGCGCTTAAAAAGAAGGATAGGCAGGGTCAGACTCTGAGATGTGCGAGGATTCTCCAACGATAGGAGTGCACGTGTGCTGATTTTTGTAATTATATATTGTGAATACATGTGACTAATATTACTTTCTTTTTTTATTTTGTGCATATTACAAGTTATAAATAAATATAAACAAACAACAGTAACTCGATAACATTAAATCTAAATACCAAAATGATTAATTTACTGTGTTTTTGTTATTTATTACTCCTGTTTTTAGGTATTCGCTATTCGGCCGAATAATGATTAAATATTCGGTATTTGGCCGAATAGTGAAAAATAGGCCGAATAGGCCAAATACCGAATAGTAACCGAATATTCGTTGCATCACTACTTGTAATTCTTAACATTTTCACTTTGTATGCAAACTTTTACAACTCACTGTACATCGCATGAAAAATTAAAAATAAAATTAAGAGTTTGTTGTTGGCATTTTTTCAAGGAACATTATCGGTGCCACGCAGTATTTCATTGTGTTTAAAACAGTACAGTATAAAATACCCGGAAATTAAAAAATGCATTCTATATCTACTACAAAACCTCAAATACTGAAGGAGGAAAAACAGTATGTTCCCGAAGTGTGTAAAGGACGTTTCGAAATAAATAAGACACTGTTGTGCTACTTTTATTATATTTGAGTTTTTGTAATGTATTAATGTATTAATAATATCTAATTGTTTTAAGAATATATAAAGAAATCCCTTATTTACAAATGGATTCAATTTATTAATTCAATTAATTAAAAAGGCCAGGGCAGTATAATTGTTCATTTTTGATGTTTTCATTACAGTAGTTTGCTTCAAAAAAGCAATAGATAAATATACTGCATCAATTTCCGCGTTGCTACAAATAACCATAAATTTCTTCAATTATTATGTGGTTTGTTTCAAATATAAACGAAAGGTGTAATCTACAAAGTTCAGACTAAAAATATGAAAAATTATCACAAAAAAGAGTGAATAGACGCAGCTCCATTCCGTAATCTTATTATTAATGAACATCTAATTGTTTTAAGAATATATAAAGAAATCCCTTATTTACAAATGGATTAAGTGTCAATACATTTATTTTGTATGCAGAAGTATTATTTTAAACTTAAGAAGTAATTGTGTTAGATCTGACAACTTTCATTTTATTTTTAATTTTTTATGCGACATTATAATGCAGTTATAATGATTCGATTACTTAAATTAAAAATAAAGATTAGTCGAAATTTCACAAAAGACATGAAATGTTTTGCTAATTGTTAAGACAAAAATAATTAAATTTTCTATACACTAAATGAAGCAATCCAAAAAATCGTGCACGATTCACAAAACATTCGAAATATTATATGATGTCGTGTGGTCAAATTATAAGCTTTATAACAGAAAATAAACAAACACTATTACGAACAAATGCATTAGTCGCAATAGCTGAAATCTCATGCAAACAATACTCACGCAAAGAAGGTTAATTCTGTCGGTCATCCCATCATCTCTAACATTAGCTATAAGTCTAGATTTCGACTAAATTATAGTCATTAAATAACTGTATTTCATCTTAATTAATAATAACCGACTTATGCATCATTCTTTTTAATCTTATTTATAGGTTTATCACAGTTATATAAGTCAAAAATCAAAATAATAATTACCTGAATTTTGAATATAGTTTACTCAAAAGAAATTGTATAGGAATGTACAGAAATATGGCCAAGAATCCTACTAAAATAGTCCATCCGTAATATTGCCATAATATCGCTATCGTAGTGATGATTAAAAAAGGATTTGAAAATAAATATGGAATTCCGTGAATATTCTGCAAGAAATAATAATAATATCAGTTCTGTACAAAATACTATTAATTCTATCACTAGTAATATAAATTTCAGTATAATTATTATAGAAATTATAGAATATGTTAACTTTTCATGAACTAGTTTACTTTTTTAATGAGTTTTCTGTGGTTTGACAACTACAGGACAGGAGGTTGCAGGTTGCTAGATTATCGATAATTGAAATTTAAGTTTTTAAATATTCAGAAATTTCAGTAATTTATATAAATTCTGAATGTGAAAACATCGCTGTACATTTTCAATTCAGGCAGGCTGTTGCCTTGTTTTGAATTTTTTAGAAACACTATTTTATCGGCATGAATATTGAATGATGACAGGCTGTAGTGTTTTATCAATGAGTGTAAAGCTTGTAAATACTTTACGAACATGGTTTGCATAAAATCGATATAAAAACAATCACACAGGGTCATATAACATTTATTTTCCACTCTTTAACCTTGTACTCTATAGCGAACAATACATTACTTTCTATTCTACACTGGCAGAGACTCTTTCACAAAACGATTCTTATAGTACTGATATTTGTGTTCTTTGTAAAATTAGGTTTATTGTGAAAGATTCATTTCACTGCTGTTAGGAAAGGTCACACGGTATTTTTTTCTAATACCAACACCCATAGCGAAACACCTATGCATGAGACACATCCCCGTGTAAACTCAAATTATTTTTTCCGGCTTGACTTTAATGTGGATCAATTTCAATATTCAGAAGTACTCAAAAGTGTTTGGTGGCGATTCTCTTCTAATTAAATGTACAGTAGAACCTCGATTATCCGGACTAATTGGGGATGAAGGTAGTCCGGATAAGGAAAAATCCGGATAATCGAAACAAATACTTTAATTGGTCTTTTATTGATAATACAACACGTTTTCTTTTCGATGACATATCGGTAACATTAAAAGTAAATACTGTATTTAAATCGTGATCAATTTTTCAAGAAACAAACGTTCGTATCGAATTTGGATTACTACTGACTAGGGTTTCTCATTACCCGGTCTTTTGCTTGTCCCGGGATCCCGGGATAAAAGTGAACTGTTTTCCGGAATCCCAGGAAATCCCGGGATAGGATTAATTATTTTTAAGGTATACAAAATATCTTGAAATCAAATGATATAATTATTTTCTATTTATAAAAGTAATTTTAAAGTTCTGTAACCTCCAAAATCATATTAATAATGCCCTTTCCGATTCATTTGATATGATTGGAATAGTGTTTAATGCATTTAAGAGAAGACAGATATTATGTGTTTTTTCACCTGTAGCCTGGAAGATTTCGAGTACGTTTTCGAGGTTGTAATACTTTTTTTGCTCTCTAGTATTTTTGATTTGTCTACTTCGACTGCTTTAATAGAAACATCAAGCTTATAGCTGAATGATTTGTCAGTTAGTTTGTCTTTGATCATCAGGTTTA